GTGAATGAGTGAATAATAAGTGAATAAGCGAATAAATGAATAAGTGAATAATAAGTGAATAAGTGAATAAGTGAATAGTAAGTGAATAAGTGAAGAAGTGAATAATAAGTGAATAAGTGAATAAGTGAATAATAAGTGAATAAGTGAATGAGTGAATAGTAAGTGAATAAGTGATTAAGTGAATAACTGAATAAATGAATAAGTGAATAATAAGTGAATAAGTGAATGAGTGAATAATAAGTGAATAAGTGAATAGTAAGTGAATAGTAAGTGAAGGAGTGAATAATAAGTGAATAAGTGAAGAAGTGAATAAAAAGTGAATAAGTGAATAAGTGAATGAGTGAATAAATGAATAAGTGAATAGATAAATAAGTATATATAGTGTATAATCTAACGATGCATCATATAACATGAATCAACGTAACATATAACAATAAATCAACGATGACTTTTTATAACCGGCAAATAAAAAGCACTCGAAATTTTGGAAAATTATTAAAATTAATTCAATAAAATGTTTGTTTCAACACATTATACTAACACATTGTTGACTGATCTCTCGTTAACTTGTCTTTTTCACATAAGTATTAAAAAGTTATCTCATAACACTATGTTAATGGCAATGTAAAATGATTTATACAGCATCTACTTTGCTTCTTATAGTTTCAATAAGTTTACCATATTTTCAATTAACAACTGCAAAAATCAATTTTTTCCTCCTTTTCTTAAAAGGAGATCAATTCGAATTTTACAACCATTCACAAGAGGAATGTGCACAGGAAAGCAATAAAATTGACAAATAGTCTATAATGAATATATAATATTTGATGCTTGTACAAATTATATTTTATCTTCTATGTCTCTTATATCATTTATTATAAGGTTTATTTATTTCGTGCAAATTCATCGATTTATTCATGGGAAGAATTCAATTATGACTTTATTTTTTATGAATCTGCATCTAATAAATTTCGCATCGAGAATTTTATTTGTACATAGGTATAAACAATTTATTATTAAATCAAGTCCCGGATGTATATGCTCTCTGATTCAAAAATTTAAAACATTCTTTACTTTCAATATTAAACAATCTTTTTTATACAATTTTCTAAGAACCAAGAATGTTATAATTATATCTTTTATCTTGAAATATAATTAAATATAATTTCACTATTATAAAAATTTTATTCATAAAATAAAAATATTTATTCGTTTAAAAATGTGAATAATTTGAAACCATAACATGCTTTAAATTTCATGATTAGGAGCCTATAAATTTTTAAAATTTTCAATCCTATTTTAATGTTTGACTGCGACAAAATTTTCTTCATATCATTTGTACAAAGCATAATTTTCAGAAGAAATATTATTTTTTGATACTATAGAGAGATTTGAGATTTTGAGATTATTATAGAGATGTTTTGATATTATAGAGAGATTTGAGATTATGAAACATGAATATTGGAATGAATATTGAAATGAATATTTAGATTAAAAAGAAATTTAATCTAAATTTTGTCAAGATAAAGAAAACTTATATGCATTTATTGTAGTACCCGGGTTATCAATGTATGTTGTAGGTGCTGAACATTAAATTTTTCAGAAGCAAAAGAAATATTATTATGATATAAATATTTGTACAGTATTTGTACAGCCATCGCAGGGTTTACAATAGAATATAGACATATTGTCCCATTCATATTCTTATACCATAAAGGAGAATAAAGGTCAACAAGTATGGAAAATTGAGAGGTTTGGCTTGGAATCAGTAACAAGTATAATTAAAATATCAAATTTTCTTTTGTTTTTTCATCATTCCTCATTTTTTCTCTTATTTTAGGTATTGTAGGTAAAGTAGAAATTTGACGTAGCAGACGTTTCTTTCGCATTCTTATATTATGAAGGAAAATGTAGTGAAAGTGTACGGAAAGTTGAAACGTTTGGCTTTGGACCAATAATGAGCATAATTGGATGTCCCACTTACAGGTTTTGTACAAATTTGTTTTTTATTAATAACAAATTTTCGTTAATATCAAGGTTCATAAAGTTATTTTTATATTTTAAATAATTGAAGACATATAATTAATTTATTAAGACTGTGAATATCTTTTTAGTTGCCAGTAATGAGAAATATTCATTGGTTGAATTTTGAATAATAATACTCGCATTCAAATTTTTTTAGCTTTAGTGACTTTTAATATTTACTTTATAACTCTTAAGCTTCAATAATAGTTTTAATACGTTTTCGTGTACTGTGTACACGAATTCGTCAATATTTCGAATGAATTTTATTTTATTTTTCTTCACTTCACTTGAATTTTCTTTCAATTATTCTACATCGACAGACTTTATGAGTTATATACTCTTCTTAAAACTCTACTTATATACTCGTGTTAAAAATTGCTTCAAATTCTAAATGAAGTTGAAATTTTTGTATTCTTAGGTAATTTTGCACATTTTTTGTTATGAGCTTAAGATTCTAATCCTATTGAAATATAATATTTTGTTCATATTTTTGCATTTAGTTAATTGCTCTGTAAAATATTTTTATACATATACTGGTTCATTGTTCCGCATTAGATGTAATAATTTAACGATAACCCAACAATGAACTGAATCAACAATTATTTCGTGTTACAGTTAACTAGAAAACACTTGAAACAGTAGAAAACATTGAAAAATTATTAAATTTAATAAGAATTGTATAAAATGCTAACTAATAATTTAATAATAATTGCATACCTTGTTAACTAATAATGTGCATTAAATGTTAACTAATAATGTGCATTAAATGTTAACACATTCTTGACCGGTCACTCAATTCATGAAATTTTTTATACATAAACATTAAAAAATTTCCGGTCAACAATATGTTAATAGCAACAGAAAATGATTTACACGGCATCTATAATTGTGCTCACAGTATTCATAATTTTTTCATATTTTTAGCAAACAATTGCGAAAATAAATTACAGATATTTCTTTTTCAAAGAAGATCAACTCAAATTTTACGACTTTTCACAAAATAGCAAAGAATATTGAAGATGCATAAGAAAACAATAGATAAATTGATCTATAATGAATATAGAATATAGAATAGATAAATTGGTCTATAATGAATATAGAATATTAGGAATTTGCGCTAATTGCACTTTATCTTCCATGCCTTTTATATCGACCTATTTTATTATGAAATTCATTCATTTGATGAAATTTCATCTATATATATGAAGTACACACACACTCTCTCTCTCTCTCTCTCTCTCTCTCTCTCCTACTTAAAAGTTTAAAATACACTTTAACTTCAAACAATATTTTTTATATAATTCTCTAAGAACCAACCATATCATAATTACTACTTTTATCTTTAAATATAATTAATTAAAATTACTATAAAAACACAGTAGTATGAATAAAATATTAATTTATTTAAAAATATGATTAATTTGGAAACTTAACATGCTTTAAATTTCACGATCAGGAATGTTGTGTTTTTGAAGTTTTTAATCCTGTTTCAACTCTTGATTACGAATATTCCTCTTGTCACTTCTACAAAGTGTAAAATCACATTTCAGAAAGAATGCTTTTTTGAGATTATAGAAATGGATATTGTCAAAGATAAAAAGTATTTAATCCAAATTTTGTCAACCTAAAGAAAACATCATTCATCTTTTGACTTTCGTCGCAATATCTGAGATTATCAGAATATATTATATTATAGCTAAACGATAAACTTTTTTAAAGAGAAGAGAAATGACTATGAAAGTTTCCTTTTAAAAATGTTGATTCGTCGCTAAAAGTGATTAACAAGTAAGACAAGTATAATAACTCG